GCATATTAAAAAGCAGAGACATTACTTTGCCAACAAACGTCCGTCTACTCAAGGGTATGGTTTTTCCAGTGGTCATGTATGGATGTGAGAGTTGGTCTATAAAGAAAGCTGAGCACCGAAGAATTGATGCTTTTGAACTGTGCAGTTGGAGAAGACTCTTGAGAGTCCCTTGGACTGCAAGGAGATCCAACCAGTCCGTCCTAAAGGAGATCAGTCCTGGGTGTTCACTGGAAGGACTAATGTTGAAGCTGAAACTCCAATACTTTGGCCACCTGATGCGAAGAGCTGACTCATCTGAAAAGACCCTGATGCTGGGAAAGATTGAGGGCAGGGGGAGAAGGGGATGACAGAGGATGAGATGGTTGGATGGCATCACCGATTTGATGGACATGGGTTTGGGTGGACTCTGGGAGATGGTGATGGACAGGGAGGCCTGGCGTGCTGCAGTTCATGGGGTCGCAAGGAGTCGGACATGACTGAGCAACTGAACTGAACTGAACTGACATACTGATTACAAATCTGCATAAACCTGTCATCTTAAAACAATAAATAACTCAAGAAATGTATTTTCGTTTGAAACCATGTCCAAGCATACCCTGTCACTTGAGGCTTTCCTTTCTCACTGTGTTCTTAAAAGAGCCTTTTCAATTCTCTGGAGGACTACTCCTCATCTTCCATTTGCTCACTGCATAATGGTTTCTACCTTTACCTAATACTCCATCATGGAGAGGACCTGCCTTCTTGACACTTTCTTTTCTTAGTTTGTACCATTCTGATTGTTTTTCTTCTCCTTCACTTGTTTTTCTCTAGTGTTTACACATTTGTGTTCCCCAGAATTTCAGCTTCAGCAGACTGCTCTTTATCCTGTTCTTGAGCAGGATCTTCTGTTTTATAGTTTCAAATATCATGTGTCCCAATATTTTACCTCTTCCCTCAAGCCCATTCTGATGTACTTAACTCTATTACATGTCTCCATTCGGTTGTTCTCTGGGAATCGAAGTTTAACATGTCTAAAACTGAACTAACCACCATCACTTCCTCTTGAAGACCTGAAAAGATTTTTCCTATTTCAAGTAATGGAACCAGCACCCTTCATCTGCACTGAAAATTGCCTCTTACTTCCTGTTTACCTAGCTAGACACTCAATGCTGCTGACTTGATTTCCTCAATATTTTTAAAATTCATAATTTTCATCTTTCTTACTGTTGCTGCTCCAGTTTTAAGTCTTTGGCATATTTCAGTTTTCAATAGTTTCTAACTGGCTTTCCCTTCCTCTGAGCTAAATTCCCACTTAAAATTTTACCTTGCAGATGGAGGTATCTAAAATGAAGTCATGACCACCTCACTTTCTGCTTAAAATACTTAAGTGGCTTTCCATCTTGTATAGGATGAAATTTGTTCTGTTTGCAATGGAATACAAGGATTTCGTGTCACATGTTAGGCTTTTCATTATTTTTGCACTGAACTGAAACACTCAATATGGACAGAGTCCCCAGGTAGATTGTACCACCATTCATACATCCCTGACAGAATCAGAGGTGCTGCCTGAACAGGTAGCCTATGAAGATGTCAAGTAGAAGAATGGTTTTTCTACTCCTTTTGAGAAACAGTTGAAAGCTGTTCATTTGAGACTTTTGTGTTCAAGTAAAAGCCACTGTAGTAATCATTTAGGTCTTTGTATTCTTGAGGAGTTAGTGGTGAGTATGGATAAGCAATTTCAAGAAGACTTTTGTTTTTTTGTTTCTGTCATCTCTCTGCTTTAAAATTTTTTGAAAAATATCCTTTTGGCCTCCTCATAATTTATTAAACACTTACTAAATTTTTTTTTTTTTTTTGCTGTGCTGTCTGGCACGTGGGATCTTTGTGGGATCTCTAACTAAGGATCGAACCCGTGCCCCTGCAGTGAAATGACTGCCAGGAAGTCCCGAACACTTAATGATTTGGTTTTTAAAAATTAAACCTTTATGAAATAACTGTCTGCTGTGTCAGACAGTATGCTTAGTGCCCTAGAAAATTCAGAAGACAAGGTTCCTGTCCTCATGGAGACCACAGTGCAGTGGCCGGTGAGACAGCTGAACATGACAGTAGAATATGATAAGTGCCATGATGGAGTCATGTCCATCTGACTGTGGGGGCATTGGAGGCAGGTGAGCTTCAAGTTAGTTAGTTGGCATCCCAGACCCCTCGGTGGTTGTTCAGGATGTATAGTTTGGCTCCTGCTTGTATTTCAGCCTACCCCGCACTCTCATTGTTCTGGATCCCTCACGTTCTCCTGAGGATAGCACCAGCTTTCATGACCTTTATCTTTGCATGTACTTTTTTATCTAGTGCCTATTTCTGTGTTTTGCCTAGCACACTGTTTCTGCTCACCTTTTAAAGTACCAGCTCAAATGCTGCTGCTTCCCTTCCTAATGCAGAAAGTTAGTTGCTTCTTTCTGTATCCATGGAACTCTTCTTATGATCTAATACAAGGTTTATCATAATGCATTATCTGTTGACAGCTCTGTCTGTCCCTTTAGACTCATGACTCTTGAGCGGTACACGATTGACTGTTATCTTTACACCATGATACTTAGCTGGCATGTTAGTTACAAGATACCAAATATGAGTCTTTTTTTTTCCCTGTATGTAACAAGATTTTTTATTATGTCATCACACATTTTCCCTATATAAATTTACACTTTTAATTGAAGTATAGTTGATTTACAGTGTTGTGTTAGTTTGTGGTGTACAGCAAAGTGACTCAGTTTATATATATGTAAATATATACGTATTATTTATTTATATGTATATTCTTTTTCAGGTTCTCTTCCTTATTATAGGTTATTACAAGATAATGAATATAGTTCTGTTCTATATAGTAGGACCTTGTTGTTTTATCTATTTTATATATAGTAATTTGTATCTGCTAATTCCAGACCTCCTCTAATTTCTCCCTCCCTCCACCCCCTTTGCCCTTTGGTCACCATAAGTTTCTTTTCTATGCATGTGAGCCTGTTTCTGTTTTGTGAGTCAGTTCATTTGTGTCACGTTTTAGTTTCCACATGTAAGTGCTCTGTCACGTGTTACTTGTCTTTCTCTGTCTGACTTCAGTTAGTAATTTTTGGGTCCATCCATGTTGCTGCGGATGGCCAGATTTCATTCTTTTTATGGCTAAGTAGTATTCCATTGTACAGTGCGGGAGACCTGGGTTTGATCCCTGGGCCGGGAACATTCCCTGGAGAGGGGAACAGCTACCCACTCAAGTATTCTGGCCTGGAGAATTCCATGGACTGGGTAGGCCTTGGGGTCGCAAAGAGCGACTTTCACTTTAAGGTGTATGTACAACATCTTGATCCATTCATCATTAAATGGACGTTAAGCATGCTTCCATGTCTTGGCTATTGTAAATAGTGCTGTTACGTTATTGGGGTGCATGTATCTTTTCAACTTGGAGTTTTCTGTAGATTTTTTTGCCCAGGAGTAGGGTTGCTGGATCATATGGCAATTCTATTTTTCATTTTTTTTTTTTTTAAGAACTTCCATACTGTTTTTCATAGTGGCTGCCCTAGCTTACATTCCCACTAACAGTGTAGTAGGATTCCCTTTTCTCTACACCTTCTTTATTTTTTTAGACTTTATAATGATGGCCATTCTGACCAGTGTGAGGACACCACGAAATACGAATCTTAACTTTACTATTTTATTTATCACTTCTTTTGGTTTATACACTAGTATACTTTTTTTAAATGTTTAATCCTTATACCTGCCAACATTCTTTATCTTCCTTTAGTGCAGTTCATTTAGCTTACAAGAGACTTAGAGTGTCTACTGTGTGCTAGTTACTATGTAAGGCACATGGAAAGTAGGAATGAATAAATTCCATCCTTCCTGGAAAGGAGTTCAAAGTGGAGGGAAGAAGATAGATAAGTAAACAGTCGATCACAATTTCTGCTAAGTAAACAGTGTGGAAGAGGCTGTGATACTGGGAAGCTCCGGGTGCTTTGGGGATACACAAGGCATAGAACTTGCCCAGCTGATTGGAGTCAGGAAAGGCAGTCTTCTGAGTTGAATCTTGAGGAAGGAGCAGCGTGGAAGTGTGAGGACACAAGAGGCTCTCGGGAAACTGTTTGGTGTGACTGGGGGGGTTTGAAGCAGAGAGGAGTGAGAGGTTAGACTGGACTTGTAGACAAGGACCAGAATGTAAAGGACTTTTTGAGCTTTTGCATTTATTTTTCCTGAAGGTAGTAAAGATCTGCTGAAGAATTCTAGACAAGCTTTAATCAGATTTGTATTTTTAATGTTTAGTAACTTCTTATGCTTCTTTCCCTTCCTCTTTTTTCAAATACTTTCACATCCATTCTGATTCTTTCCCTTGTTTGTAAATGAAGTTCCCCTTGTTCACTTGGAGTGTTCTTGAACACTTAATGTTACTATAACCACTTATCTCTTACCCTCTGTCAGAAAGGATTAGATAGACACACAGAGTTTTGCCAATATTCTCTGTGTTACTGTTTGAACTTTGAGTTGTTTTTCTCTCTTAATGAACTATTCCAGATTTGTTTTTGTGTCTTACTAACCAGTTTTGTCTGGAGGGATCCATAACAGTGCATAGTATGAATCAAAATACTTGCCAAGCCAGAAGTCTATCATCCTTTTGGAAATTTATTAATGAAGATAGACATTCAATCCTAGTAATCCATAAAGGGTTAATTCCATGAATGACTTAAGTATAATAGTGTTATGTATGAAACCTTAAATTGGTTTCTGTTTTAAAATAGGCAGACTTTTGCAGACTAAATTTGAGGCTTCTGTGAGGTCTGCCTCACAAAATTATTCTTGTTGATGCTGAGTAAAATTCTCCAGCTAGTTGTATGAAGTCTAGCTCTAGCCATTTACCTTCCTGGGCTTAGTTTTCCTTATTAAAATAATACAGGGCTAATGTTAGGTGATTTCTAGAGTCTTTTTCTGTTTTGTGATTTGTATATCTAATAATTTTTTGCAAATTATCTTTCATGTAGTGCTCACATGGTCTTCTGAAGAAGCCATGGGTAGCTGTTGTAGCTGTCCAGATAAAGACACTGTCCCAGATAACCATCGGAACAAGTTTAAGGTCAGTAAAAACGGGATGAGCTGTAGCTCTTACTGCCTACCTGGATGCTTTTCTTTTACTTCACTCAACACATTTCTTATTTCCTCACTCGTATCTTCAGACTCTCTTTATTTTCGTTTTTGTTCATTCTGCCTTTTCTTGTTTTAACCAACAAGGACAACATTTTTTACTGACAGTGTGAAATCCTTTTTTCCTTTGGTCTTCCATATCCAATTAGAACCACACAGTTCTGATAATACTCTTTTTTTCCCCCAACTTGAAGGACTTTTACATTTATTACCTTCCTATATCTCAGTCATAGATATGAGTGGCTAAATATTACATCTCCGTCAGGAAAACACAGCACTATTGATTGTTACACCCTCCGGAGAACTCAGTCTTTGGTCACAGTGATAAGAGACCCTGGATTTGGTCCCATCAGCCCTCTTTGAAATGACCTGATAATATTGTCTTTAAATCGCCATCTTATAGGTGCCTCTTCAGTCCCGTCACTAGTTCCCAGTCATTGTTTAATGCCTGGATAATTCTGTAACTGAACTCTACCTCCAGTCACCTCTGTGATCCATCCTGCAGTTGACATCAGATTTATCTTCCTCTTCCATTATTCTAAAACTTTAGTGGTGTCCTGTTACTTAGACACGAAGTGCTCCATTCCCTACTCACCCACAGCCATTAACGCCTCTCATATTCTGACCGCAGTCTGCTGTAAGTCAGCCTCTGGATCACACAAACCTTGGTGTAAATCAAGCCCTCTTGCTTCATAGCTTTGTGACCTTTGACAAGTTAGATTGTCACCAAGTCTTTGTTCATTTGTATGTGATGGAGACAGTAGTATTACCTGCAGTTTAGGATTGGTAGTAAATGACAAATACAAGTAAAGCACTTTGCCCAACCCGGGCGTATAGTACATTCCCCCCGAGTGTTACCTGTTTTTAAGGTCTCTGGCCATTTTCTGAAACTCAGCAGTGCAAGGCCTTCCCTGACAAGGACTCGGTGCCAGTCCTGTCTTGGGCTCTCTGAAATGTTCCCTCTTTGTCTCTGCTGTGGCACTGTATCTTCACGGTGTGCCCCCCAAGTCCTGACCCACCAACTCACCCTCTTTATTTCCTTCTTGCCTGGGAAATCCCATGGACAGAGGAGCCTAGTGGGCTATTAATCCTGTCCATGGGGCTGCAAAGAGTAAGACACAACTTAGTGACTGAGCATGTACTTACTTATACCCAAAACCCTGCTAAAGTCCCTTCTCTTCATATGTGAAGGCGTCTCCAACAACCCTTGGCTACAGTTCCTGCATTTTGCAGCAGCTGTTGTACTCATTTGTTAGGTTAGTTAAGCATTTACAGTTCTGTGATGTTGACTTTGTCTTTGTGTATCCTGCCTCCTCAGTGGGAATGTGAGTTCTTTGGGGATATGAACCAGGTATTGCCCTGCTACGTAATCCATGCCATACAAAAACATTGGTTGTTGAATGAAATAACAATAACTGAACCAATCAGCAATAGTACATTTTCCTGAAATTAGTGAAATATGTTCACGACTGCCAAGAGGGAGCATTAAGTTAGCACTAATTAAACTTTTTTTTAGGTCATTAATGTGGATGATGATGGAAATGAGTTAGGTTCTGGCATAATGGAACTTACAGACACAGAACTGATTTTATACACTCGCAAACGTGACTCGGTAAAATGGCACTACCTCTGCCTCCGACGCTATGGTTATGATTCAAATCTCTTTTCTTTTGAAAGTGGTCGAAGGTGTCAAACTGGACAAGGTAGGTAGAGCCTTTGTTTTTTTCTCCAAACATCATCATATTTGAATATCATTCTGTAATTCAATTATTTTATATATGTTTAAATTACTGTTTTACTTTTATCCTGAATGAAAAAAATCCTCAAGCGGATTATTTAAAAAGGAGATATAGTACACTATGTATTCACTTATCTACATTTATTAAGTAGGTTTTCTATGTCTAGAATTTTGGCTCATATTAACTTTAAGATTTGAAGTAAGTAAATGATTTAGTCCCAGGACATTGCCTCTGTCTTTACTGTTACAGGGCTTCCCTGGGGGCTCAGACAGTAAAAGAATCTGCCTGCAATGCGGGAGACCTGAGTTCGATCCCTGGCTTGGAAAGATCCCCTGGAGGAGGGCATGGCAGCCCACTCCCGTATTCTTGCCTGGAAAATTACATGGACGGAGGAGCCTGACAGGCTACAGTCCATGGGGTTGCAAAAGAGTGACTTTCACTTTACTGTTACAACTTGGGAGAAAGAACTTAAACTTTGGAGTTAAGCAGAACATAGTTTTATTTTTTTGCCATCTACTTCTTGAAAGTCCTTGGACAAGTTGGGGAACCTCTTGCATCAAATTCCTTCTGTATCAGAGTGGAATGGTAATCCAATAATTAAACAAGGTAATGACTGTAAACCACAGAGCAAGCGCCTATCAAATAGTGGATTCCTGTGGTAATGATAGGTTAGACTCCCCCTGCTGTTAGAAAGCAGACTAGAGAAAGTGTGCAAATCTTGTTTTTGCCTTCCTTATTTTGAGCCATCACCCATGGACAAATGAAAATTATTCTGTGAACTTTCTTTTGGGTTTGTGTTTTGAAACAGGAAATATAATTAATTTATCAGACATTTATTTGAAAGGCCTTTCTTGCTATTGGTGCACAGAATGCTTCCTTTATAATTTTGTTCTTTGACAAGTGCTCCTTTGTCTTTCTTAGATGTTGTAACCATGTTTTTTTCTTCTGGTTTATATTTGTAGGAATCTTTGCCTTTAAGTGTGCTCGTGCAGAAGAATTATTTAATATGTTACAAGAGATTATGCAGAATAATAGTATAAACGTAGTGGAGGAACCCGTGGTTGAAAGGAATAACCATCAGACAGAATTGGAAGTCCCTAGGACACCTCGAACACCTACAAGTAAGTGTCTATTTCCCCTCTTCTTTTATAAACTATAGACTATGGATATTTAATCTATACCATGTTAGAAATTACCATTGGCTAACATAAATGTAGTAGTTATGAGTTTTGAAAAACTGTCTATAATTATAAACATTTTAAATATGAAAACACAAAGTGTTTGATATTATTTTAAATGTTAGTGGAAAGTTAAAAGTGGAGGGAGCTGCTGTTGTGCTCTAGTTTCTTGTGTGTCTTACCAGAAACACCTCCTTAAACCTCTCAGTGCTGATTGTATCCTCATTCATCTTTTTCTCTGTGCCCTACCCCTATATTCTTTCTTAAACCAATAAACGCAAACTCAGCTCCAGGGTTTGCTGCTCAGAACTTACCCAATGGATATCCCCGATATCCATCGTTTGGAGATGCTTCATCCCACCCTTCCAGCAGACATCCTTCTGTGGGAAGTGCCCGCCTGCCCTCAGTAGGTGAAGAATCTACACATCCTTTGCTGGTGGCTGAGGAACAAGTAAGCATGTGCTGCTGTCTCACGGTATTGTATGGGGTTAGAGTATTACCGTGCTAACACTTGAAGGTTTTAGTCAATTTGAATTTTAGTTGTCACTTTTGTATGTGACCTTTGTAGTGAAATTTCAGAGGATAGAGCATATATTTGATGACCTATACCCAAATATGTATAGGTATTGAGGGAAACTTATCATTCCACTTAAATCTGTGGGTCCACAGGAGAGGTGCATCTGTAGATGAAGACGGGCAAAACTAATGGTCAGTTCTCTTACAATAACCTCAAAGGAAAGCTTTTTATATTACAGTTTTTGTAAATAGTGGACTACTAGCAGTAAGAAAGATTATGTTGTCAGTGTTTTTAACAGAGCAATTTAATATTCCCAACTAGTCTATTTTCATTTTAGGAATGATGTATCTGGTTGAACATTGTATTAATTAGTTGCACTTATCTTTTGTCAACAGTATGACTGTTTATTATTAAGGAATTTTTACTTTTAAAATCCATTTCTTTGTATTTTTTACTTGTTAAATGAGTTTTTACTATAATTAAGTATCCCTCTTTCTGAGTTTTATTTTTTGAGTTTTTCAGATTTTATGTAAAGACTTCTAAACATTTTTATATTGTCTCCCCCAAATACCACGAGCTTTTCTAAGTAGTGATAATTTCCTACTAGGTGGAACCTATTTTATATCTATGTATCTTACAGAACTCTTATTAAATCTAATAAGGTTTATCTCTTTATATAGTCAGATGATCTATAAATAATGATACATTTCTCTCTTCCTTTTTAATACTTGTTATTTCCTACTTCTAAATCAGGTTTTAATGCACTGATGAGAATTTCTAGAACACCAAAGGAATAATCCTTGTTTGTTCCTGACTTTTTATAGAATGCTTATCGTGTTTCACCATCACATCTATTTTGAAGTAGTTATTCTTTTATCAAGCTAGGAAGACATTTCTACACTTCTCCCACCTCCTCCCAACCTTTTTATTAGTAAAAAAAGGTACAAAAGCCCTGAAAAATATACTTAGAAAGTTAATAAAAATTAATTGATAGAGTCAGGCAGATTTTTTGTTCTTTTTTTCTTTTCTTTTAAAAAAGCTACTCACTTTCCTGTTTTATTTTAGGTACATACCTATGTCAACACTACAGGTGTGCAAGAAGAAAGGAAAAACCGCACAAGTGTGCATGTCCCATTGGAGGCGAGAGTTTCTAATGCTGAAAGCAACACACCAAAAGAAGAGTCAAGTAATATTGAGGACAGGGACCCTCAGATACTTCTTGAACCTGAAGGAGTTAAATTTGTCTTAGGACCAACACCAGTTCAAAAGCAATTAATGGAAAAAGAGAAACTGGAACAACTTGGAAGAGATCAGATCAGTGGAAGTGGTGCAAATAACACAGAATGGGACACTGGCTATGACAGCGATGAGCGGAGAGATGTGCCCTCTGCTAACAAGCTGGTGTATGAGAACCTAAATGGCCTGTCTCTCCCCAGCGCCTCTGGGTTCAGGAGAGGTCGTCTGCCGTCCACCAGTACCTCAGATACCCAGAATATCAACAACTCAGCTCAGAGAAGAACTGCATTGTTAAACTACGAAAATCTACCATCTTTGCCTCCTGTTTGGGAAGCCCGCAAGCTAAGTAGGGATGAAGATGACAACTTAGGACCAAAGACCCCATCTCTGAATGGCTACCATAATAATCTAGATCCAATGCATAACTATGTAAATACAGAGAATGTAACAGTGCCGGCAAGTGCTCACAAAATAGAGTACTCAAGGCGTCGGGACTGTACGCCAACAGTCTTTAACTTTGACGTCAGACGCCCGAGTTTGGAACACAGGCAGCTCAATTACATACAGGTTGACTTGGAAGGTGGCAGTGACTCTGACAACCCTCAGACCCCAAAAACGCCGACCACGCCCCTTCCACAGACCCCCACCAGGCGCGCAGAGCTGTACGCTGTGATAGACATCGAGAGGACTGCTGCTATGTCCAGTCTGCAGAAAGCACTGCCACGAGATGATGGCACAGCCAGGAAAACCAGACACAATAGTACTGATCTGCCCATGTGAGCCCTGGAAAGCATTTACATTTGCACCTTTGTGAAGTTTTTTTTAAAAAAAAAATGAAGATGCAAGTGCTTCATTTTTATTTCTAAACACTAACTCCTTTTATAGACTGATAGAAAAAATTTTTTCTGAATATTTCATGTGCTTCTTTAAAGGGAATTAATGTAGAGCAGGTACTCATAAAAGAACACTAATTTCATTATATACTACTCATTACTGTCCAGCAGCATTCCCATTTTCACAGTGCCTATTTAAAATGAGAGTTGAAGTGAGTGACGGGCTGGTCGATTTTTATCAAGATTCTGAACTCATGTATATCATTCATGTGTAAGTCATGGTTGGCATTTAAAACAGAGCCTCTTGATAACGTGCATTGCTAACAGATAACCTGTAGCTTTGAAAGTACTATTTGTAGATTCACTATTCATGGTATGTGGCCTCCAGCATGTAACGTGAGGAATCCTTTATTTCATTAATTGTAGGCTTTTTGACTTGAGCCAAAACATATGTAATGGAAATAGAAGTACCACACCTCCTATGTACCAGTCAGTTCCTTTGCCTTCAGCATTTCTAGAAAGTTCTACGTTCGTGAACGTGGTGTCCCATTGGTGTGTTGAAAGGCAGGAAAGAGATGAGATTTTCTGTTTGATCATCTCGTGATGTCATTTGAAGGGCATGCCCAAGTATCTTAATCAGAATTATAAATAGGCTCAAGAATCAGTCTCAGGTCACTTTATCCAAAAACATTTGAAAAATCTGAACCATGATCTCTTGAAAGTTTCTCTCCTACAGATTATTTACAGTAACATTGTTCTCTGGAGGCATTTGTGCCATTAGATTACCATTTACCTTCAGTTTTTCCTTTGGTGTTTGGGATGTCTAACTTTGTTGCTTCATGTCTTTTTCAATTTAAAATGTTTGAGTTTGTATATAGTTTTGAAATTGGTATGTGTTCATTGTTGTTTAGTTTGCATTTTTGTTCAGTTGTGGTTTTGAAGGTTCATTTGGAACTTAACTGTTATTCTATAACAGGGTTGCCCTTGTCCAGTATTTATTTATATGCTGTTTACTTTTCATGTTGATAAAAGCATTCTCTCAATTTTAAATTTCACTTGTGTCCATAGGTGATCTCTTAAGCAGCTGAGAAGAGAGAGAAAAAAAAAGGAAGTACTTTTAACATGCAAAGTTCCGTAAAGGTACTGTGTTTTCTCTGTGGGCACTCTCCCAGCACTTTAGCAGTGGTCCCCTCGGTCACGTGGCTGCAGTCACACTTTGCCCACTGTGCTGCTCCTCAGCTCTGCTGTCCTCTCACTCAGCTGATTTTGATCATCCCTTGATTTTAATAGAGTGTTAAAATTATTGTCAGCATAGCAGGTACAGTGGAAGTCTTACAGCAATGAGATTGTGTCATAACTTAGGATTGAAAATGAAGTTTATATAAACTGATTATAGAGTTCATCTGTCTAGCTCTTGGAAAGTCAAGAATTTTCCAGTTTCCCAAATCCTAGAGAAACAAGAGAAGGTAGAGTGGAAAGAAGGTTGGATAACCTTGCAAAATATGTCACCATTTCCTCTAAATATGAGGAAGTTTCTGAGATTATGATCTGGATTTATCAGATGTAACTAAGGTTAATTTAGCATGAAAAAGTTTCAGTCATATAGCAGCCAACCTGTCCCATAAATGCCCTAATTATAGGACAGTGAGTGGATTTGCAAAATAATAGGGTGGGACCATTATAAAGAAAATAAATTATTAAAGGTGTCTTTATTATTTTCAGTGCCATTGGTTTATATGCATAGCAGAATTTTTTTTTCTGTGAGTTTGGTGCTCACTAAAGTGGTCACTGTTCTCTAAACAGAGTGCAGTGGTGTACTAGGTGTGCAGCTTCCATTTCTGTACCGGTCCACTTACGCTTTCCTCTGAGTAGATTGCTAATTGTGCCAAATTTACGTGATGATCTTTGTAACGTGGAAGAAGAGCTACGACGGAACCAGTGCATGTGGTTTTCTCGGAAACGAGCAGTCAAGACAGAACGTTAACCTCCAAACGAAAGGGCTGACCTCTTTACTTATTTTGGAGGTTGGGTACTTTTTTTTTCTTTCTTTCTCTCAGCCTTTTCATTTTTCCTTCCAGATGCTGATTAATTTTTATATTTTTTAAGCAACTATAATATAACCATTGCAGTTTATGCTTTAAATACTGTGTGCTTTAAAATTGAAAACGGGACCAATTTGTCTGTTAAGAATTTCATTTTTAGGTACTGCGAGTATTAGGGAAGATGTATACAACTGGTATTAATTTCTAGATATCTCTGGAAATCCCGTGTCCCTATTTAATAAAAAGTAATGTAGAACACTACTTGTCCTTTGCTGTAGTCTAGTAATGGGCATTAAGCTCTGTCCTGGAAGAATGTACCAATTACTTGGTACATTTTAGAGTGAGATATTTTATTGGGATATAATTGTGGCCATATGTTTCAGATTTTCTGAGACAGACCTAGTTTTAGATACTCTGTTCTGTTGATAGATCATGTGATCCCACTTTCTGGCTTTGGAAATATAATCATTGGTCATGTGTTTTCTCCCTAATGGAATCCTCTTTTATCTGTATGGATCATAGTAGCTTTTATCCCAGACCACGGTTGGAAGCTGATATGGGTATAACATGTGTTTTTTTTCTCAGTGTATTTTATTTCCCAGGTTCATCTTCCTTTAAAAATGAAAATATGGTGCCTTCCCTCCCTCCAGGAAGATTGGCAAATAGTTCCTTTTATTTACTGCTGCTGTGGAGTGATGAGACATGCACTTTACTTTTGAAGACTCAGCAAAAAGCTTTTCACTTCTCAGTATATCCAGAATAGATCACATTTGGGACTTAAGAAAATTTGCCAAGCAGTCTTTGTTTTTATAGATATTAATGTTGACCCCACAGTTCAATAAGTTAAGCTAGTGTTTATCACACCCCCTCCCAAAAAATCTGTGGCACAACATAAAAAAATGTACCTCAATAATGTTCTATTAAAAATGGGACAGGGGCCTTATGTTTTCATAATTTCCCAATAATGTGCCACCATATTTTTGCCTCAAGGTAAAGGTTTTAGCAGGCTAAAAAATAACATCCCATTTCCCCTTGTGCTATTCCTAACCCATAATGTCCAAGTGTTTGTGCAATGTGTAGTGTGTGTGTGTATAAATATATATGTATATTTACATATACATATATATATGTATATCTCCTTGAAACAGACATACCATCAGAGACAACGTTCGAAAGTAACTAATGTATTGGCATCTTTTTCTTCTCTCTGATATGTGAGGTATATGGTACTAAATTACCTTTTCCCTGATGTTTGCCAAATTTGAATAAAGGCATTGGTACGAAATCATAGAATGTATAGAAAATGTTTTTGGCTTGAAAAACTAACAAATATTTTATGACATACCATAATATACTCTGCCCAAACCAGCACCCTGTCTTTGCTCTTCTTTACATCCCTCTTCCCCATCCCTACTTCCTCATTTTTCTGGTATAAAAATTCTCTTGTAGCATCATTGCAATTGCAGTTCTATGACGATTGGATAATACTAGCACGGAAACAGATTGGTATTAATAGTACAGTAGTCACCAGTGTGCCGCATTTGCATTAGTAAATGCAAAATACACATTTTATAAAGGACAAATTTTGTGTTATGTTTTTATTTTCATTACATTGTATAATATTGTAAGATTATTGTATGTCCTGATTTGCATTATAAATGTTTTTTTCCTACGTAAAGGCATAAATATAGCAACTTTGTATAAAGGTAGCTTATTAGATTTTTGATTTTGTATTTTATAAAAAAATTGTCTAACAGTGGGACTACCATTGCCAAATTGTACATGAAATATGAATTTTACCCCTTATGGTTAATTTCATTTATAAACATTCCATATTTCTCTAATAAGACATAAGTGATACTGTACTATGCATAAATGGTATTTTAATGCTGTTTCATATCAGCATTTTAAATTTTGGTTTGCATTTTTAATATTGGCAAAATTTACCACTGTTGATTAAACCTTGTTGTATATGTAACAACATCTTTTGCCCTTTTGCCCTTCCCACCCTTGTTCTCTATTTCTCCCTGTCAGTGCCAACTTCATACATTTTGTAGCATGGCAATAAAATATAACTTTTACACTGAGGCCAAGTGTGGCTTTTTGGAGGATATGGAGATGGGAGGATTGCCCTCTAGTTGTGCTTTGCATATGACTTTCTGCCACATAAACCATGTTTCCAGGCATGAGGAAATTATCTCGTATATGATGTGAACATGCTTTTAAAGGCAAGTGTGAATGTTGCTTTTAAGCTTAATTTTTGTCCTTAACTAATTTTTTATCTTTGGAAAAGTCAGAGTTCTGGAATTACAATCAAACCTTTATTAACTGGAGTACTTAAAGAATGAGCTAATAACTGAATTTATTTCAACAAGGGCTAAGCAACACATTTTTTAAATCCTTATTTATTATAGAGTATTAGTATACTGTCCTAAAAATTATATGTAAAATATGGTTTCATCTTAGGTGATTTAGGATCTTGCAATGCCTTACTGTTGTCATTCTGGCATAAATTCCCATGACGAGGTACTCAAGATGATACTGGAAGCTGAGCTTGACTATACAACTAACATTAAGCATTCATGCAAAAGTGCTTTGTTTAATAAAATCTGATCAGAGTTCTTATGGTTACTTTCCCCTTATTGCCGAAAGTAGATTGCAATAAAACCCCAATAAAAGTTTGGTTGGATACCTGTTTAAAGTTTCACTGTATTTATACTTCACACGTTTCTTGAGACTTTTATGATAAGAGGTTTTTTATTTCTTAGTCTCATATCACCACCTCCATTTTCAAAGTGAACATATAATGGGTCAAGGATTATGTTTCAAAGTGAAATGAAATTTTAAGTATTTGCCAGACTCTCAAGAACTTTTATAATCTTGGTCATTCAAACTAGTAGTTCTT